CATGTCAAGTAGTTTATAAAGTTAGATATTATTCAAGTATTTTATTAGATATAAATATCAGAAAGCAATGAATAAAAAATAGCTTTCAGAACACAATATAAACTTTTTAAATGAATAATTATCTTTTTTAAGCTTGCAAACATCTCAAGCATCTTTCAAGAATATATTAATTAGATACTCTATAATTATCTGGACAAGTTCTGCTTTACTTATATATATGATATCTTAATCTTCTTCACTAAATTACATAAAAAATACTAGAAGCAGGTACAGAAGATATTATATTAGTTACAGAAGATAGATCTGCATATTAATATTAGTAAATACAAGTTTGAAGTCACATCAACAAAATATCTTGAATTCATTATTAAGACTGGCAAAGACATGTGAATGAATTCTGAAAGAATGCAAGCTATACTAGAATAAAAGATCTTCACAACAGTTAAAAATATATATAGTTTCATTAAATTCACAAACTTCTATCAACAGTTTATAAGAGACTTCTTTAAAATAGTAACACTACTTACAGTACTAACCAGAAAGAATAATAAATTTAAATAAATCAAGAAATACAATAATATCTTTAAACTTTTAAAAAACATATTTATCACTATATTTATTTTTCTACAGTTTAATACAAGTTATAAGATAGTAATCAAGACAAATTCTTCAGACTATATAATGAAGAGTGTGCTTCTATAATACAATAAAAGAAACACACTATAATTATGTATCTATTTCTCAGAAAAGAACATACCTGCTGAATGCAACTATAAGATTTATAATAAGAAGCTGTTAGCTGTAGTGAAGTATTTACAGAAATAAGACTTCAAGCTCTGTAGTATTAAGAAATTCAAGATGCTTACTGGCTACAAGAATCTAGAATACTTCATAACTCAACAGTATTTTAACAAGAGACAGATACAATAAATAAATATTTTGAATAACTTTAATTTTTAAATTAGCTACTGCTCTAGTAAGTTCAATATAGAACTAAATGCGCTCTTATAATATGATCAAGATATACTAGTCAACACCAACAACAAACAGCTGAGAAATTAAAAAGCACAGCTACTAAAGTCTTATATAATTACAGATAGCACAATAGCCTGCCACACCACTGAAGTAAATAATATGACAGAGCTGTTGCTAGCTGAATACTGGAAATATATATATATAGTGAACATGCAACTTTAAAAAATGGAATAAGCTTTTAAGAATAAATACTCACAGTTTCTTTCTAAGTTCTTAATAAAGATATTAACTAGTATCATACTGCTTACTTAATAACAGAAATAAGCTATACTTTCAGAAATAATACTGAATTTCAGATTCTGAAGAGTTACATATATAGATTATGCAGAAAATTTATAATTCTGTAATAATAAGTTATCTGAGTAGAAAGCAGATAATCTCTATACTTATACATCAATATTTCTGGCCCAGATTTATCAAGAATATATAGTACTTTGTACAAAACTGTAATCTCTGTCAAGCAATAATAATATAAAGAAATTATCAGAAAAAGATGCTGAAGTCTCTGTCTATTTCTGATTATATCTGATCAGAACTCTTAATGAACTTCATTATTAATTTATTAGAATTAGAAGCATGTACAAATATTATAATTATTACAGACTAGCTTATTAAAGAAGTTATCTTTAGACTATGCAAGAATATTAAAGTTAAAATAGTAGCTCAAGTCTTTATATAAAGCATTATTATTATTATTATTATTATTTATTATAGTCTTATGCAGTCAGTGACTATGAAGACTACCTAACAGCTTCTCTGTTAGAATTTACTTAGTATACATTGTAGAAACTGAATAAAGGAAAAAATTCAAAGTATTTCAAGACAATATGAGATGTTCTTTCTCCACAAAAGTCAAATAGCAGATAGAACATAATATTAATTTTTAAAGGAAAATAATAATTCTTGTAGCAATGTGATACAAATCAAAAAGAAATAAAATTAGCATATTTGAAAAAGCCACTGTCTAGTAGCTATTCCAGTACATTTCAGAAATAAAACTAGCCATTTTAAGTCTAATTCAGTTTCAAAAATAAAATTTAAAGATTCACTATTTCTCTTCTAGCTTAGCACCACACACAAATATTGTAAATATATTGTACATATATTTGTTTACCATCTTTCTTCTCTCTCTTCAAGCAATATGTTTGTGTATATAGAGCTTTAGCTAGTAAATTCAGCTTGACCCATGACAGTAAGAGATATATATCTCTTAAAACAAACTTGATTTAATTCTGTAGCTTTTTTTGCTACTAGATCAGCTTTTTTATTTCCATGTATATTTATAATTTGTATTATATTACTACAAGAATTTTTGTTTTCCTTTGAAATTGATATTATATACTATCTGTTATTTGAATTTTGTAGAGAAAGAACATCTTATATTGCCTTGAAATACTTTGACTTTTTCTTTTTTTCAGTTTCTACAATATATACTAAGTAAATTCTAACAGAGAAGCTACTAGGTAGTCTTTATAGTTACTGACTGCATAAGACTATAATGAATAATAATAATAATAATAATAATTCTTGTAGTAATATGATACAAATAAAGAAGTAAAAAATTACTGTATTTGAGAAAGCTACTGTCTAGTAACTATTCCAGTATATTTCAGAAATAAAACCAGCTATTTTAAGTCTAACTCAGTTTCAAAAATAAAATTTAAAGATAGTTGAGAAATATCAAGTTCTTCTTGAATTTTTCTTCTTTCAGTTTAATAAGCTAAGCCATCTAATAGTAAGTGCTTTAGATTTTCAAAACATGTTATGAATATAGGTCAATCAAGTATCAGATGATATCAGGTGTTTAGAGAAACTCACATAATTCTCAACTCTGAATGTATAAGAATTGCATGATTTGCATGAATTATAAGAATCTCAGTGTTCAGTCTTCTAGTTAGAGAATCTCTATATTTTATGCATGATTTTCTTCTACCAGCTGTGGGCATCAGACCTACTTAGCTCTTTTGTACCCCAAATCCTGGGAACACTCATGAAACCTATGTTGAATTCCTTAACAATATAATAAGTGCATATAGAGTATATATAAATAAAGCTGAAAGAAAAAAAATAAAAAGAAAAAATAAGTAAAGTACAAGTTCAGAGTAACAGCACTTTTAAACTGTTAAAATGGTGGAAGGAAAAATGGGTAACCTCCACTTTTAGCTCGGAAAATACTCATGAGAAAGCTGTACATGCCTAATAAAATCATAGTCCAAATAACAACACTTGCCTGCTGTGCCTTGGTGTCAACAATCTGTGGTGTTTTTGTGGCTAATGCTATGATAGTGAAAGACAAAAGCCCATCTTGAAAATAAATATTAGTACCTAGATATTCATATTTCCATAGTTTAGGAAAGCTGGGACTTACATATTGCAGCAATGATTTGGCTTTCCAGCCCAAACTGGTTTGAAAACCCGCTAGCAAAATAGGTTATTCCACCTTTGCCATCACCAGTCACATATGGAACCTTTCGAATGTGATTAAACATGTGACCACTCGTGAAGAGAAGGAGGGCAATCAAACTCATAGCAGCCCATATAGTTCGGTTGCGTACAACTGGCAAGATGTAGGGAGAACAGGCTGCAAAAATCGAAATAAAGCAGAGAAGGGAAGTAGTTATTCCCAGGATTCGGGTGTAGTTTACCGGACGAACTATATCAAGGCTTGGACTTTCGGGAAGGTGGCGGCTAATCCAGGTGTAAAGCTGGTCCGCGGAAACAGGTCTGGAGTAGATCAAAATGATGCTCCAATGCCAACGTGAATTTCCCTTGCCATGACTTACCCATTAAAATCATATCGAAGGGGCGAACTGTTCTGTCTAGCAGCAGGTCCAACAGTTGGAGGAAAGAGGAGTAGCACAGGGGCGGTTTGAAGAATGAGCTAGCCTCACATTCAGTTAATGTCATCTATTCTTGAATGTTTCTCGCTACCTTTTGGAAAACAGCTTTCCCTTGATCGAAATCGAGTGTACCAAAGAGTAGTCTTGTCGAAGGATGAGAGGCCTTATTCCAGCTCTTCGCTAACAAATCCCATTCCGGCTGCATATCTCGACATAGTTGACATCCATAACGAGCCTCAACTGCCGTAAGAAGAATAGCGACATGGTAATCGCGAGGATCAGATACAATCTCGTTGTAGCTTGAATCGTCAAGTTGAATTGGCAACAAGGATTTGGGAAGGGAGCTGAATTGGGTGAACTTGTCTAGGCCAGAGACCACATTGAAGGCAAAGAAAAAATTCAAACTAATAAGGAACAAGTTAACTGTTTGCTTGACACCCATCATTTTTGATTATATGATGAAGGTCAAGGCAGAAGAGGTCACAGTTCAAGCCTTTCGAAGGTGCCCAGTGGTCAAGTTATTCGAATTACTCTGTACGGAGTACCTGGTATGCCAAGCAATTCTGGCTGCCAAGCTGCAAAGAAGGTGGCACAAACTAACCATTTTAAGTTTAGCATTGCTTAATACCGTTGGACTTGCTACATTTGGCTGCGACATAGTAAATCCCTTCATCACTTTGCTTTGTGGGCAAGCCACTCGGGGTCAACTCCAAACAGAGAACGCCTCGATGCTGCCTCATGCGAGGGGAACTAAATAATTGAAGGGTAAAGCCGATACATATACTCCGTACACTGCGCGTGCCTGCTAATTGATGGCCATAATAACCAATGAGCAATTGGGTACTTTTTGGATTTCTGGCTTTCTGGCTCTTTCTAAGACCACCAAAAATGGCTTATTCATCTTTGATTTTCTGACTTCTAAAACCATCTACTACGGCTCTCTCTATCTGGTGTGACAGCACTAAGGCTCTAAACTGGGTTATCTCGATTACTTAGGGCTTAGGGCCAGGGCTCAAAGCCGGGACTCCCCGTTGCTTGGCTATATAAACCGCACCGCAGCCTGCATCTTTCCTTTCTTTTTCTTTTCTTCCTCATGCTTCATATTTCGTTGATTAGCTACCTAATGGAATTCAGTTTCTTATTAGCCTGAGCAATCGTCACACCTGGTGACTGCTTCCTTTGCAGGCTAAATATTTCACACCAAAAGCCACAACTTTGAGGACTCCCCAGGGCAAACCTATATCATACCACGAAGCCATGACTTTCCAAGCTCCGCTGAGACTGCTTCCGGATAATGTTTGAGGGCGAAAAGAAAGGAGCAAAAAGGCGATTCAGGAGAAAATCCCTCGTGCATGGTTTTGACATCTTTCAAGCGCAACTGGAAGAGAGCGCAAAAGCGGGGTTCTCCTGAAGCCCAGATAATAATCCTCAGGGGTTGATGCTCGGAGGTATTGATTTGGTCAAATCAATGACAGACTGCCTGTGATGTTGGCGCCTGTTGGTGTGCGAGGCTGTGATCACACCAGCCTATCCTTAATTGAGGCATAGCCTGCCTTAGCTCTGCTAGCATTGGCTGTTTTGTCTTTCAGCCGTCATCAGCGGCTAACCCGAACATTTCATCAACTCCTCACACATCAAGAAGACAATGAGCATTGGCTGGAGATTTTTCTCCTGTTAGCAGAGTTGGACCTTTGTTTTCTCGGTTCGCTGTCTTTCAGCAACATCGCCAAAGGCTTCCTCATAAATCTCTACTCACGCGACATAGACTTGCTTCTCAGCCAGGACATCATTTCCGTGTTATCATTCCATGGCCGAGCCACCGCCTTCGGAAGCCGAAAGGATTTACTACCCCGAGTCGGATGTGGAGGATTTGGAAGGATACAGGCCCGGCGGGTACCATCCAACCTTCATTGGAGACACCTTTTGTGGAGGTCGCTACAAGATAGTTCACAAGCTTGGATTTGGTGGTTATTCAACAGTCTGGCTCGCCCATGACCAGCAGCTCCAGTGCTATGTATCGCTGAAGATACTTGTTGCAGGAGCTTCACAGGGCAGTAATGAGAATGAAACTCTCTGTCTATTGACAAAAGGTGAACCGAATTGTCTCGGAAGGCAATTTATCCCAACCTTGCTTGACCAGTTCTCTTTTGACGGTCCCAATGGGTATCATCTGTGCTTGGTAGGAGAGTCTGCTGGCTGCAGCATAGCCAATTCAAAGGAGAACAGTACAAACTTTATGTTTCCACGAGATGCTGCCAGATCCATTGCTGCCCAGCTCATCATGGGCTTGAACTATCTGCATGCGAACGATGTATGCCATGGAGGTATGTCAAATACAGCCTTGTCCCTTGATTGCTCATCCAAATTACTGAATCAGACAGATCTCCATCTGGACAACTTTCTTCTTCATGTCCCGGGCTTTGACAATTTAAGTACAACTGAACTGTACCAGCACCATGGCAAGCCATATGAGGTTCCTACCCGGCGCCTTGATGGAAAGCCTAGCACACCCCACGCACCACCGTGTGTCATTTATCCCATGATTTGGAACATGCCTGCGAACGAGGTGATGGATCCTGAGATTATTATCTCAGACTATGGGACGTCTTTTATTGTTTCAAAAACACCATCTCCAACAGTCACACACCGGCCCTGTATTCCCCGCCAGAAGAATCCTTCAACGAATTCACATCACCACTGCAGCTGATATATGGACGCTGGGTGTTGTCCTATATGATGCCATGAGCGAACGGCCGCTCTTTGAAACCTTTGCATGGGACCCAGACGACATCATTGCTGAGATGGTCAACACCTTGGGACAGCTGCCCGCACGATGGTGGGGCTCCTGGACTAACCACTCTGAGTTCTTCAACCCAGATGGTTCATGGATCACCAACTTCCAGCGCATCGGCACACCTGTATTCCGTCATCTTCACCAACGGATGTGGGATATGGGCCGGGGTGAGATGCCAGAAGCCTGTGAATGGGATGTTGCTGGTGGCGAGCTCAAAGCTCTGGAGGATATGCTGAGGGCCATGATGGCATTTGAACCAGCCGAAAGACCAACGGCGAAGCAGCTCATGATGTCTGAGTACATGGTGAAGTGGGCCATGCCAGCGTGGGAGAGGCAGATGAAGCGAAAGAGAGCTTATGCTGTGGAGCAGAGGTAGTAGATTGCCCACATTTATTGTAGACTTAAGTTCATCCCGAAACATTTTCTCCCGATATCTCAAGTCAAAGATCTTCGGCGTCCGCTCCGGCTCTTGACTCACCTTTTCAAGAGTTTTCCCAAGGCACATTACTCCTATGTCCTTGGGCCGAATCGCCGCTGTTGAGCACATCGCTTCGCAGCCCTTTTTTTTTTTTTTTTTTGGGGGGCGGATTCTTACCCTCTGGGGATATTCGTATTCTTGGGGGAAGGAGCAAAAGAAGTTTATTTGATCTATTTGCCTATCTAGTTACAATTCACTGCCCTCCAAAGATTCTGCAGCGTGCATAGGATAGGTCCAGGGGCGTTCCTGGTGAAGGGGGGATTGGCCTGTTTCCTCTGTCGGTCTTGAGCCTTTCTCATTAGGTCTCTTGCCAATTTCCAAGCCACTTAAAAATTGTCTGAGCTGATCTCTGGCTGCCTGGCGATTCTGCAGTTCTGTTCGGCTAATCCCATTACTCAGTGGATGCCAATCAAAAGAGGTCCGAAGCTCATAACCATTGGTCACTAGAAAAGGTACCAATCTAGTTGATTCATGCTCCAGGGTAGCAGCTGCAAAGTCTAGGATAGGAAGCAATTCTGGCCAGTCATCCTGATAGTGGTTGATAAAGGGACGGAGCTTCATAGCAACAAGCTAGTTCACGATCTCCACTTGACCGGCTATTTGAGCATGATGTGCAGTAGCACGCTTCAGCTTGATGAAGACAGAGCTGCATCCCACGCGGCTGAGCTGAAGCGGGTGGAGAAACATGCGCATGAGAGGGCAGCTCAAGCAGCCGAGGAAGTCCGCGCCGAACGGGACGCCGAGCGTGAGCGATTGCAAAGAGAGACAGATGAACAAGCGGCCCGGCTGGCTCTTCAGCAGGAAGCGGCAGAGATGATGGCCCGTCGTGTGAGGGAGGCCGCTGAGAGAACTCCCCAAGGTGTTGATCAAGCACACTCACAGGGGAACAATGGTAGGGCAGAACAGGACGGGCTCGAACGCCAGGTTGCAGACGTTTCTAAGTCTCATAACGAGGCTGAAGGTTCTCCTGTTGAGAACATGGACGAGATTGAGATTGATGTTGACCCGACTTCAGAGGCTTCAGAATATAAACAGAAGTAATAGGCAGAGAGTAAGTAGTAAGAATATAGTTGCCTATATTCTCAATAAATACTAATTATAGAGATAGTTCTCATTTGTTCAGATTCAGTACTTATTAAACTAGCTGATTCTCTTTAGACTCAGTTAATTTATGTGAATTTGCATATAAATTCATCTGTGTAGATCTATAAGTTAATAAACAAGAGTACTCTGTAGAGTGTGGCACATTAAATAAGCATGCAGCTTTATAAATTAAAAATGTTTTTTTATTTTTAAAAGCAGATATTGCAAGCTTAAGTCTTCTTTCTATCTCTATAGAGTTTCTTGCATTTTTATTGTGAATTGGTGGCATATTTGCACATTGAAGTGGCTTGATTAAGGCATTCAAGATATTTTGAATTTGGTGTCCCAGTGCACTTGGGTGTCCTGCTCAGTTGTGGATTAAGGTAGTTCACCACTAAACAAGCCACACCACTAAACAAGCCAAATTTTCCACCACCAAATTCCTCCAACATTCAACATTCAATATGTGACAATATGGTCAACAACACTTCAATTAGGCTTGCAATTGAAGATCTTGAATCATAAGAGACCCCAAATTATACTGTAACTGTAAGAAAGTACTCAGTTAATCAAGAGACTTTGCATTAATAGCATAAAGACTTGCAACTTGCTCAGAATGAAGCAGTCTTCTGATATAAGAAAAAGCTTTCTGATATACAGAAGACAGAGCTTCTGAATTATATGAACAAGCTCTCTAGCTGCAGCCTTACTATTACATCTCAGATCCTACAAAATATTGTATAAAAGATGACAGAAGAGAATATTAGAATCAACTGAATTAATTAATTTTGTGAGTGGCATATGGAGCAGAAAATTAATTAATATAATCTTGAGCCTTCAAATATCTACAACTTTAATAAAAAAGAATTTCTTCTAGACTTCTGCCACATCTTAAAGTAATTAGTCTCTATTAAAGCTCTACAAGCTAGAAAGAATACTATTATTCAAAATGATAGTTAGAAGTTTCTCTTATTGCTCTGCTCAGTCTCTGCTGAAGAAATTACACTACCTTCAGCTCTTATTTATTAGAGTTAATTGTGAGATCTTCAGAATACATGACTAGATGATTATAATAGAAGCAAATAAGTCTACTTTGCAGCTTCAACAAATGATTGAAGTAATAATAAATATAGAAATTATTCAAGCTAGTAAGCAATTTGCTTTTTATAACAAACTGCTGGAATATAAGAATCAGTATTTAAGATTAACTCTAGTAACAGAGAAGCAACACTGCAAGCAAGGCAAGCCTCTAGACCTACTTAATAGAGATAATTCTAGTCAAGCACAGTTCTGATCTCTAATCAAAGTTCTTAAGACATATGAGTGCCTAGATGAAATAGAGACTGAAAAAGCTAATAAAATTGCTTAAATACAAGGGATAAAGCTTTAACAGAAGCTTTAAAAGAGATAGACTGCTAGAAATATTAAAAAAAGACAGATTAAACAGAAGAATATTTATAAAAAAATCTGCAAGTAACAAAAGATTAAAAAAATCAAATATACTAGATAAAGAGAGATACAACATGTTGCTTATAAGAAGAAGAAGACTTTACAACTAGCAGAGAAGAAAAAACAGACAATTAAACATGCTGCTAAATACCAGCAGTCAGAACTTCAAGCACCAGCTTTAAAGTACTGTTGAAATGACTTCTCTACTAAAGAGTCTTATTATAAAAAGTCTATACAATCTTTTAAAAGAGAAAGTAAGAGCTCTACAAGTCTTTCTAGCAAGATATTAGACTCTCAAGCTGAGAAATCTACTGTTAATATTTCTTTGAATTGTTTCCTATCTACTTTTCAAATCTCTTACTCTGGCTGTAATATTAGATTGTTTATCTGTTTATTTTCCTAACTACACTAATTTCTATACTTCAAAGAACACATTCATTTAATATTTAATAGCTATTTAATAATAAAGATCTGGTTGTTGAGATATTTAATAAATTTGTTGTGTAGAGCATTTGGCAAAATTTGGCTTGTTTAGTAGCGTAGCTTGTTTAGTGGTGAACTACCTTAGTTAACATAATCCACAAGCAAGTGAAATCTCTAAGCAAGTGAAAGAATAAAGTAAGGCATCTCAACTAACTAGAATTTAACTCAAAATATCTATGCTCAATAACCTTTAAATAGATTAAATTACATTGTAATAGAACTGCAGCAGCCTCTTCTTGTATAACTTAAAATATAGCAGTTTGTACATCTTGATAATGTCTGCAAATATAATGCAGACTTTGAAACTGTAAACTTAAAGAGTTGAGCAACTGACTGTTTAACAGATTAAGCAGATAAAATAGTAAGCTTAGTGATTTTTTTTCTAGTTAGATCTTCTTTATATTGAATTTGATACTTAGATCTTATATATTTTTACTTCTCTTTCTTATTTGCAGCAAATATATTCTGATATTTATAATAATAATATTAACTATTTTATATTTACAGATCTTTATAATTTAGTCAAATTCTTTTATTAAGCTCTGAATAAGCTCTCAAGTCTTTATTTTATAAGATTCTTAATCTTATCCATCTGCCTATACAACTACTGGAGATTACCACTTAATGTTTGTAGAATTCAGAATAACTGAAGATGCTAAATTAACTAGCTGAGAAAGTAGAGATTTAGAGTTAAATATTTAGCTACTAAATAATCTTAAATCTTTTTATTCTCACATTTTGCTTGCTTGTAATTATAGTGTCTAGAATAGTAGTATTTAAGCTCTGTATAGTATTTAATCAGATTTAACACCTAGTTCTGGCTAATATAAGAGAGAGAAGAGATAAAATCTTGCATAATAAAAAGATGATTAATCATATTCTCAATAAATACTAATTAGAGAGAGATTTCTTGTTTAACTAGATCTAGAATTTATTAAACTAGCTGATTCTCTTCAAACTCAGTTAATTTAATTAAATTTGTATGTAAACTAATTTATACACATCTTTCTTTCACTCAATAATATAAGATAGTATAAGACATATTAAATAGCTGTGCAGCTTCAGTAATTAAGCTAATTTCTTGCTTTTTAAAAGTAGAAATAGCAAGTTTAATCCTGCTCTCTATTTCTATAGAGAATCTTGTATTTTTATTGTAAATTAATGGCATTCTGACATATTAAAGTAAATGATTGAGAAAGTTGAAAAAATATCTTTTACTTGTAGATTTCACTTATTTATAAATTATATTATAACTTTAATAAAACTGGATTTGTAATAAGCTTCTGCATAACTATTAAGATTATTACTAGTGCTGAGCACTATAGTTGAGCCAAGCTTCTACAGTCTGAAAATTAAAAATAAATTACAGTAATTAAATTAGGTAATATCTCAAGCTAAGTCTTGTCTCTGTATATTATTCTTAAGAGATAAAACCTACAGAAAAACTGGTTTATTATTAATAATATTATTATTATTATTATTATTTTTTTTTTTTATAGTCTTATGTAGTTAGTAACTATAAAGATTATCTAGCAGCTTCTTTGTTAGAATTTACTTAGTATATATTATAGAAACTGAAAAAGAAAAAATTAAAGTATTTTAAGATAATATGAGATGTTCTTCTTCTACAAAAGTTAAATAACAGATAGTATATAATATCAATTTTAAAGAAAAACAAAAATTCTTGTAGCAATATAATACAAATAAAAGAGAGATAAAATTAGTATATTTGAAAAAGCTACTATTTAGTAGCTATTTCAGTACATTTCAGAAATAAATCTAGTTATTTTAGGCTTAATTCAGTTTTAAAAATAAAATTTAAAGATAGTTAAGAAATATTAGGTTCTTGTTAAATTTTTCTTTTTTCAGTATAATAAGCTGAGCAGTCTAATAATAGATGCTTTAGATTTTCAACATAATTACAAAAATAGCATAAATTGGAAAGATAGACAGATAATCTTATTAGATAAGATCTGAAATATCTATAATCAAGCTGTAATTAACAGATAGTTGATTATATCTTCTTAGATATAAAAAGAGTAGATGCTTTTCATCTGAATTTTATTTTGAATTAAAAGTAGTAACTTGTAGAACTTTCTTTATTAAAAAGATTTTTCTATTACTTTATTATTGCTTGTTTATTTATTTATCTCTTTATATTCTAAGAGATATATATCTCTCAAAATAAACTTAATTTAATTCTGTAGCTTTCTTTACTACTAGATCAGCTTTTTTATTTTCATGTATATTTATATGTGCAGGAATCTAATGAAGATGTAGATTAATATGCTGATTTTTAATGTACTTAGCAGTTTTTCTTATAGATTGAACATAATATAAGCTAGAATTAAGATCTTAATTCATAAGCCTCTGAATAGCAGCTTGACTATCAGAAAAGATCAAGATATCTAATATTGATCTTGATTGAGACTGAGAGATAGAACTTGGTAATTTAAATACTTTATCTATAGTAAACAGTTCTGTATTACAGACTTTAAGATATTTGTCTAGATTCTATAAAAATCTAATATTATTTTATAGATTGTATACACCAGCACTAGTATATTAACTTTCTTCAGCTTTTGATCTTTCTGAATAGAGAATTAAAGATTTATTATTTAAATTTTTAATTTTATTTATATGACTCTCTTTAACTATTTTCTTGTCTGAATTTTTAATTTGAATATCTATCAAATCAGCTAAATTTTCAGATTAAGATGCATTTCATTTTGCTTTGATTCTCTTTATTTTTAGAGAAGATAATATATTTGAAATTATTAAATAAATTCTGAATAGTTAACTTGAATACTTTTTTTGTTTATTGATTTTTCTTCTTTTTCTTTTAGTTGATGTTTATTCAATATATTTATTATTTAATTCTGATTAATTTTAATTTAAAAACCTTTCCTAATCAAGATCAACACTATTGCTATAAGATAGAAGGCTAGAAGGTACTCTTTCTCTAATTATATATTCTTTTGATATCTTTAATAATCTATAAGCATAATTTCTGCAGAGTCTATTCAATCTTACTTTGGCAGGAGAAATAGCAGCTTCAATCTCTATAGTATAAATTAGAGAAGTTTTAAAAGCTTCTAGAATTGTTCTTAAAGCAGAGTTTTGAAGTTTTTTATACTTGTTAAAAAGATTTTTTTAATTCTTTCATCAAATCTAAACACTATAATCAGCTACAGGGATAATACAAGCTATATAAGATTATCTTATAGCTTGAAAAATAAGATCTTTTTCAGTATTTGAGAGTTTAATTATTTAATTAAGAACTCTTTCAGCAGCTGATATCTTGATTTCAATATGATTCTTGAAAGCAAGAGTATTGTCAAGCCAAATCTCTAATTATCTTATTAGTCTTTTTGATTTGAAAACTTGATTATGTAGTTTAACTGAGTTATCTTTACTAAATGATTTAGTAAAGTGGATTAACTAAGTTTTTTCCATATCAAATTGAACTACATGAGAATCTTGTCTATTAAACATTACTTGTAAAGCTTTATCTAACTTAGAGCAGTTTTCTTCTGTTAAGAAAGAAAAAACAACAAGTTTAGTATCATCTATATAACTAGAAATTCTGATATCTTTAAGATCTGAATCATTATCATCCTTAAAAAGAAATATAGTACATATAGAGAAACATATTGAAGATAAAGGTGAATCTTAAGAAATTCCAATATTTATAGATATCTTTTCTTGTTGTTTCTCACCATTAAAAACCAGTTGAATTTTTCTTATTTGCATAAAATAAAAAATTGATATAGCTAGTAATTTAGATAGTTGCCAATCAGAGAATACTTTTAAGAGTCTATTTAATCAAACATAGTCAAATACTTTTTTTATATCAATAAAAAGAGCTGAGGCTACCAATTTATTGACTTTTGCTAATTAAACATTATGTACCAAACTTATTATAGTATCTATAGCAGAGTATTGCTTCTTTCCTTCAAACTGATTAATATATAATAGTTTATTTTAAGAGACTCAGTAAGAAAGTCTAAAAGTAATAACTCTCTCTATAACTTTTTTCAAGCAGTTAGGAAGAGAGATGATTCTGTAAGATTTTAATATTGAAGCTTTTCTATTTAATTTCTTTAGAATAACTTCAGTAGCTTCTCTCCAGATTTCTGGATGATATTTCTTTTCAAATAGTATAGAGTATAACTTGAAAAATCTATCTTTAAATACTGGATAGGTTTTTTGTAGTGTAAGAAAGAATATACTATCTGAGCCAGATGTACTGATTTTGAAGTCTGAAAAAATAAAGTTCTTGATCTCTATTTCTTGAAGATTAGATTATTTTGAATCTGAATTTTCATAATATTTATTTTAATCCATTAGTGAATAACTTGATAGTTCTCTGAAAAGGGTTTTTATAAAAGTATTGCATTTCTCTTTAAATAAGATAGCTTTATTTTTTATTTTATTTTCAGAGTCTGAGAATTTTAGAATAGAAGTTTTCTCTACTCTTTTTTCTTTAGTATACTTATATGCTTTAAAAACTTTTTTTTCTTGAGCATTCTCCAGAAATTTGTTATAACAAGATGACTTTGTCTCTTTAATAGCATTAAAGTAGTTATTTCTAGTTTGTTGAAAGAACTCTAAGCTAATCTGCTTATTCTTCAGTTCTCTAAAGACTTTTGTTATAGCTTTTCTCTTGATTTTAGCTTATTATTTCACCAAGACTTAGATCTTTCAGTTATTCTCTTTTTGGAAATGTGTTTCTTAATGAAGATTTGAATTAGATTTCTTAATTTAATTACTTCTAATTCAAGTTCTGTTGGAGTATTTTCTATTAAAATCTATTGAAATTCTTCTTTTTCTAGATTTTGAAGAAGAGATTTATTTACTTCATTCCAATTAGCTTTCTGAAAATTATATTAATTTGAATAAAGTAGATTTTCAACAAGATTTTCAGTATTTAGTTCAATACTGAATTGAATAGTTTCATGATCAGAGCCAGAGTGAAAAGCTTCATCAATTCATCACTCATGTATCTTTTAAGTTAAGTTGGTGGAGAAGAAGATTAAATCTATAATTGATTTAGATAATAGATTTGATCTGAAGAAAGTTTCTCTGTCTATCTCATTTATTAAATCCATATTATTCTCCTCAAGCTATTCTACTAGTTTTTCAGCTTTAACTGAATTGACTATATTTGAATTCCACCATAAATGGTGAGCATTCATATCTTCAGTAACAATAGAGTATTGAGAAGCTGAGATATTTACTAGTTCTCTCTCAATAGTTCAAAGATTTGAGTTGTTCTCTAGATCTTTTTGATTATAGATATTTATCAGTTGTATAGTTTCAAACTGATTGTATTTATCTTTAATATCTATAACTAGAAGATCATTACTAGAGCATATATCAGATCTTAAGCAGGGTTAATATCTGAACTGTTTTCTAGCAAAAATAGCTACTCTAGATCTCAAATCTTTATTCTCAGAAAGAATGCAATAATATGCATTATGAGAGACTGTAAACTGATTATCTGAGCTCATCCATGGTTCCTGAAATAAAATATAATCAATTTTCTTTTCAAACTCAATATTAAGATATGTATATATTGACTTTTCATTTCTTCCAACATTATTCTGAAGAAAGATCAATTTTGAAAAAGTGTTTGAAGTTTTATTTAACATAAATTAATAAATGATAGTTTAACTTTAATCTTCTTCTTAGAGATTACAACTTGATTTTCATCTTCAGAATCTGTTTTATGAGATCTCTTAGAAACAGGTTTAGTTCTGGAAAGATTCTGCTCAGCTCTTACTAGTTACATTGATTTACTAGTATTTTGTGCTGAATAGTTGAATTTTTTGAAGAAAACACACTCTGTACTTTTAACCACATGATTTTCTCAACAATTAGCACATTTTAATATAGAGTGTATACATTTTCTTCCAGTAATCTCACAAATTGAGCATTCATGCATACTTGTTTAATGTTTTTGAGTACAGATATTATATCTGGCTTCTTTTTTACAGTTTGATGCTCTATGTCTATAGATTTAACAGTTAAAGTATTGTACAGTGCTTCTAAATCTTTCTGACTGTTTATATTTACAAACTTTAAGATTCTGTCTAGCAATCACAACTGTTTTAAGATTTTCAGCTATTGTAGTATTTTAAACATGAAAGACAGCAGATGCATGTCTTTTTTGTATTCTATTTTCAGCAGAAGATAGCCAGATTGGGGTTCTTTTTAAAGAGATAGAGTTAAAAATTTCTATCTCTTCTTTTAGAAGAGATAATCTATTCTCTATATTGAAGATCTCTGTAGAGATATCATGAACTATAAAGACTCCCCAGTGCTTATCTTTGTGAATTTTCATGCTTTCTATATTAAAGTTCATTAGATCTGAGAATATAGATATTCAAGTTTGCTTGTGTTTTTGAAGAAAATCAGCTGAAAAGTCTTCTGTTATTATTAAAATTAGAGATTGGCCTCTAAATAACTTAGCAATTAAAGAAATAACTGGTTTTTCAGTAATATTTGCTTCAGTAAAGCTGTCATTTATTCTATTTCTGAAGAAGAAAGCTTTGTTACTAATCTCTTCAAGTACTTGAGTATTCATCTTGAGAATTAGTCTTCTTTCTCTAAAGAGTTTTGGCTCAGAGAACAATTTTTTATCTTCTTTACCATTTACTTTAGAGAGTAAAGAAGATTTAACTGAAGATTCAGTATTTAGTCCAGTTTTTAGAGCAGAAGAATATAATTTGAAAGCATTACTAGCAGATACTTTCACTTGAGAGCAGCTTTATGAAGTATTACTACTGTCAGTAGCTGCTTTTTTCTGATTTTCAAGCTGTATAATTCTTTTCTCAAGATTTTTTGTATACTTAAGATACAAGTATTTAGTTCTTTTTGCACAAGAACATGATTCTTCTTCTGAGATTCTTTAGCAAGAAGCTTGAGAATTGACTTTAGATCTTGCTGTTCAGATTCAGAAGAAGAATCAGAAGTAGAAGGCATTTTAACTATGTTTCAAGAAGTATCTTCTTGAATAAGAAAACAGAAGATAATCTTTTGAAATTACTTTCTTAAGAAGATCTTCTGAGGTTATTTTGTATTCCACTTGCTAGTTAATCTAAACTAGTTCAGTTGTTTTACTGAGAGCTGAAAATCTTAATATAATAGATTTTTCTTTAGTCAAAGATATATCTATTAAATTCTGAACTAGTTTTTTGAGAAAACTAGCAAACTATATAGTTTTCTTTAAAGACTGTAATTATGAGAACAGCTTCTACAGTAAAAACTATAGAAAAACTATTAAAAGAGTAAAGAGCAAGAGGGCAAGCTAGTAAATCTAAGAGATATAAGCAATTATATCTTAAAAATTAGTTAGATTAGTACTAGCAAGTATACTTTTTAAAGAGAAGTATCAAACTAAAGAGCTTTTTACAGAAAAGCTTTCAGAAATCAGCTGAGAATATTTTTAAATTTAGTAGTAAAGACTCATATTCAAGATATCAGAGCTAGTACTATAAAAATAAGATATATTCTGAGCAGAAATATAAGAAGAGTAGCTGATTTTTTCAGATATAGCAGTACCAGAAAGCTAGTATATTTTTTATCAGATGAAAAAGATAGTAAATCTGTCAAGTCACTAGAAATCTAGCTTGATTTTTTTCTTAAATACAGAAAAATTAATAAAAACTACTCTTATTTGCAAAGTAGCCTATATTATAGCTTGTTTCTAGTTCAAAAACTTAGTTACTATAAGTATTTAAAAAGCTATTTTTCACTAATTAATTCTGATTTCTCAGCTACCAAACAGTATAGAATATAAGATAGTTCACCACTAAACAAGTCAAATTTCACCAAACATTCCATACAACAAATTTATTAAATATCTCAACAACCAGATCTTTATTATTAAATAGCTATTAAATATTAAATGAATGTGTTCTTTGAAGCATAGAAATTAGTGTAGTTAGGAAAATAAACAGGTGGATGGCCTAATATGGCAGCCAGAGTGAGAGATCTAAAGGGTAGATAGAAAAGAACTTAAAGAAATGTTAACAGTAGATTTCTCAGCTAGAGAGTCTAATGCCTTGCTAGAGAGGCTTGTAAAGCTTTTACTTCCTCTTTTAAAAGATTATATAGACTCTCTGTAATAAGAATCTTTAGTAGAGAAGTTCTTCCAACAGCACTTTGAAGCTGGTACTTGAAGTTCTGACTGCCAGTATTTAGTAGCATGTTCAACTGTTCATTTTTCCTTCTTTACTAGTTGTAAAGCCTTCTTCTTCTCATGAGTAACATGTTGTGCCTCTCTTTCTCTAGCACATTTGATTTTTTCAGTCTCTCATTACTTGTAGATCTTTTTATGAGCATTCTCCTGTTCAATTCATTTTTCTTTAGCATCTCTAGCAGCCTGCTCTTTTTGAAGCTCCTGTTGAAGTTTTGCCTGTTGTATTTAAGCAATTTTATCAGCTTTTTCAGCCTCTATTTCATCCAGATGCTTGTGTGCCTTAAGAACTTTTGTTGGAGACCAGAACTGTACTTGGCTAGAATTATCTCTATTAAGTAGGCCTAGAGGCTTGCCTTGCTTGCAGCATTGCTTCTCTGTCACTAGAGTTGATCTTAGGTGCTGATTCTCATATTTCAGCAGTTCATTATGAAGAGCAAACTGCTTACTGGCTTGAATAATCTATTTAATACTTTGTGAATTTAGACTGTGCTGGAAATGTATACTCTTGATCTCTTGTTAAAGCTGGTGCATATTGCTAGAAATAGAAGGTTTAACTGGCAGTATAGAGGCTTGAGCAGTTTCAAATTGGTGTAGTTAATATTGAGAATTCAGAAAATTAATTTCAGTCTTTACAAAGCCAGCAAGTATATTTTCAACTGTTAAAGCCTTCTTTCAAGCTATATTAAATAGTCTCCAGAAATCTCTTTTTGTCATTTAAATATAGTCTATTCTGTAATATAGTAGTGCTTCTAGCTTGTTTGAATATGTCTTGCCTAGCAGCTTAAAAATTTCAACATCAAGAGATTACAAATGGTGAATTGAATGTGACAGAAGAATCATAAGAAGAATCTTTTTGCAGTCAGCATATTCAATAAATTTTATATTTATATGAGAGGAATGCCCATCTAGTAGAAGCAGATGTCTTTCTTGACCAGCTTGTTTTTTAGTATACTTATTGAAAACCTGTTTCAATTACTTCAATTCATATTTATTATTACTTCAACCATTTGTTGAAGCTGCAAAGTAGACTCATTTACTTCCATCATAATCATCTAGTCATATATTCTGGAGATCTCACAATTTGCTCTGGTAAATAAGAGCTGAAGATAGTACAATTTCTTCAGCAGAGACTGAGCAGAGCAATAAGAGGAATTTCTGACTATCATTCTAGATGGCAGCATTCTTTCTAGCTTGTAGAGCTTCAATAGAGACTAATTACTTTAAGGCATGGCAAGAACCTAGAAGGAATTTTTTTTTATCAAGATTGTAGATGTTTGAGAGCTCAAGATTATATTGATTGATTTTCTGCTCCAACTACTTTATAAGTATCAAATAGTTAGCTAGTATCAACAACTACAATTGCAATTAATCAAATAAATCATCAAATTACAAGCATATAGAAGTGCTTAAAGCACTGATAGTTATCTGCTACCTGTCTGTTTCAATTAATTGCTTTGAAATAAATACATTTGATCTTGTCATTATACTACTTGCAAAATTAATTAATTTAGTTGATTTCAACATTTTCTTCTGTCATCTCTTGTACAATATTTTATAGAATCTGAGATGTAATGACAAGGCTGCAGCTAGAGAGCTTGTTTATATAATTCAGAAGCTCTGCCTTCTGTATATTAGAGAGCTTTTTCTTATATTGGGAGGCTGCTTCATCCTGAGCAAGTTGCAAGCCTTTATACTATTGATGCAAAATCTCTTAATTAACTGAGTACTTTCTTGTGATTGTAGTATAATTTAGAGTCTCTTGTAATTCAAGATCTTCAATTGCAAGCCTAATTAAGGTGTTGTTGACCATGTTATTGCATATTGAATGTTGAATATTAGAGGGATTTGGTGGTGGAAAATTTGACTTGTTTAGTGGTGTTGCTCATTTAATAGTGAACTACCTTACTAGTATTTAGTAGAAATTGGTCAAAATTTGCAGAGATTAATTTAGCTTAGCTATATCAAGAGTATTAAGTTTATAGAGCTGATTTAATGCTGGTGCAAAGTCTGAAGAGCAAAGATCAGATAAGAAGAGAAAGAGAGATAAGATGAAAGTAGATAAGATAAGATAAGAGTTTTAGCTTGCTTAACATATCTCAACAAAATATAAGTAAGCAAGAGTCTTGACAAGAAAAATCAAAATAAAAAAGTAACTGGTAAGAGATTTTTCAAGTAGAAAGAATATAATAATACAACAAATAGTAGAGATATAATAAAGAAATTTTAGTAGTTTGTTTAAAGAGTGTTATTGAGCTTGTCTCTCAAAATTCAGACAAAAAGATCTTGTGATTACTAAGTAATAGTGTGAGAAGTGTTTCTGACAAGGTTGAAGCTTGCACCATTTATTTCCACTTATATCTTAACAACCAGCAAGACAATTTACTTGAAAATTGAAAAGCTTCTTAAGTAGAGAAATAGCTTTCAAATAAATGTAGTTTCAACTATTTTTAACAAGAGTTGACTAAGTTGTGAAAAGAGTGTGAGATTTGAACAGCTAGTGCTTTGAATACAGATATAGTTTCTATATTTTATTAGATCTTAATATGGAATAGTAGGGTTACATCTTTATTTTAACATAATACAGAAAGTTCTTTCTTTGTATACAATGTTTGAAATCTCAAGTATATTCTCTTCTGAGTCAGAGATAATTAATATGTTGTATATTTGTGTGATACTCTGGAATTTTTAGAGTTGAAGAGTATTACAGAAAGTAACAACAGTTTACAGATTAAAATAATAATTAATAATTCAATAGTGCTTCAGTTAAGCTAGCAGTCTTGCTCTGACAACAAAAAGTTTCTGTACAGATATGACAGAATTAGAACAAGACTATAGTATCTTCTCAAGAGTAGCAGAATCAGATATAATTATACAGTATTACAAAACTTCAATAATACAGAAAGTAGTCAAGATATAAAAGTATCTGATTTAAAGATATCTAGTAGATAGATAAAAAAATTGATCACAATAAACAAGTCTATCAGATCTCTGGTAATACATATTCTTATATACATGATGCTTCTCTGGTAATAGTTCTGTTAAGCTATTTTATCTATTTTACTACAGTATGTTTACTATATTTTTCAATCAGTTCTATCATGCTTGGTGTAATTGGTCAGCTTATCAGTTGTATCATTAGTCACATAATCTCTATCTTAAAGTTTCTCTGTAACAGTCTGTGATTCTGTTTTATCAGGTCTCATCTAATCATTCTGTGTATTCTGCTGTTATGCTGCAGGATTCATAACAAGACTTGGTTAAACCAGGTTTTCAAGTAGATTTGATATTAATAAAGTCATAATACTGCAGAATTTGCCAAATACTTAAGTGAAATATATCAGATTTAAAGATAAGAATCTCAGTAAATTTTTCTCAGCCAGCTCTATTCTTGTGAATCAAATCTAATATCTTAGATTGTTTACTGGAATCTATCTCTTTCAAAGTGTTCTGATTACTTTACATCTTCAATAAATGAAATATTAATTTACTGGTTCTCTTGAGACTTATAGTTACAGTCTTTAGCTTATTTTTCAATTATACAAAGAGTTTTAGCAGGAATTCCTAGAGCAGTAGAGACTTTGTTAACTAGTATTCTCCAAGAGACTAAAGCTAGAGCTTGAATGTGAATAGCAATTGAATGAAACTGATTATTTTCAGGCATTGAAAATTATAATTGAGATGAGATTCAAGCTGGCTGGTGATTGTTTTGAAATCAGAAGGTACATGTGGGTCTGTAGTAATTTGGGTGGAGAGTATTGTACTTTTGATACAGCTATAATTACTAGCGTGAGTAAAGACTTCTGGGACGCACCTCCGTAGAAGAGTTGGATTTTGAAATCGCAGTCATGGGGTGGTAAAAGATGTTGGGTGGTTATTACTTCCCCTTTACAAGCCACAGTCTGATCATCTGCCTGAATGCAAAACATACCTGCCTTCTACCCACAGATTTAAGAGGCTTCAGGTCCAATATGTGGCCACCAAATTGCATTTGCCATTCTGCTTTGGCCCCCCCCATTCTTCAGACATCTTATGTATTTATGTCACAATCACGACGATTCGCTTCCTCAAAACAATGGCAGGCAAGACAGTTTAAGGATATATACTGGCGAGAGGCGAACCTACGGGGTCTAAAGAGCCGTGCAGCATTTAAATTACTACAGGTATATCCTTGTGTCTGATACTTTCAAAAAAGTATTTGGCAAAGTTGGTAATTTAGTTCTAGATTAACAATCACTATCGCATATTTGAGCCTGGGCAAACAGTTGTTGATCTGGTATTCAATTTAACCTTATCGTGAATTATGAAGCTACTAACAGTGGTGTTCAGGGTTATGCTCCTGGTTCCTGGTCTCAGGCAGGCATTTCTACCACTCTTGCTTTGTTATCATCTAATGCTTGATATTTATTGTAGGTTGCAGTTGACTTAACTCATCCGAATGGGAGGGTCCTGGGGATTGACATTATCCCTGCCCAGCCACCTAAAGGCGTATCAACGATCCAGGGAAATTTCCTTTCCCCTAGGATTCAGGCATATATTCGGGAATTCCTGAGAAATCCCGACAGAGGCAGACCCCTTCGAGAGGAACTCTGCTCGAGAACTCCCCAAAAACCTCGGACTGCCAATGAGGTGGAGACCTTCGAACCGGGATACATTGACAGAGAAAAGGATGTTAGTGAGCGTATTTCCAGAGAACCCTGCGATGACCACTCTCCTCAGACAGAAGCTGGGGAAGGTACAGTCGATGTTGTTCTAAGTGATATGTCTGCTCCCTGGAAACTAACCACTGGCTATTGGAAACGAAGTCTTAATGACCCGTATAATAGGATGATGAATACTAGCGGGCTGGGTTTCCGTGATCATGCCCGAAGTATGGTACGAGAAACAGTGCAGCATCCAAAGAGGCCTTGGGTTTGCTTACATGACATAGGATCTATGTAATGCTGCGGTGAACTTCAGTTACGATGTATTAAAGCCAGGAGGGCATTTCATTTGCAAATTCTATCAAGGGAATGAAGATCAACAACTCGAACTCCGCTTAAAATCCCTCTTTCAAAAAGTGCATAGAGAAAAGCCGGATTCATCACGGAAGGTTTGTGTTCTTGATCCCATTTAATGGTACTCTGAACTAAATTCAGCCACAGGAGTCAAGAGAGGCATATTTTATTGGGTTAAAACGAAAGAGATATGCTATCAAATCAGACATTGTACTTTGACAGAACGGAAGTGTTTAGGACTGCCCGTTGCCATTTGGTACTTGCCAGGAACCATTTTTTTAGTCAACATAGATGTTGACGTGGTAACTTGGGTATGTGGAGGTTCTGGACAGTCAGGGGGTAATTTCCCCGGCTCTCGGAAGGGTTTCCCTATATATATAAGCTTCTCAGAGAGCCGCCAGGCTTGACACAAGGTGGGCCAAGACTATACCGGCCTTAGACGTCGTTTTAAGGGTGAAAATTGTCGCGTTTGCGTCTCAGCTTCCCGGTCTTCGGCGCAATTATTGAGTCCATCACTCAAGTCAAACAATGCTTTCTCGCGTTTTGCCCCGAGAACCCGACGCCGTTTCACGGCGTTGCGCCCCATCTCGGAAATGCCGAGTCGGGACGCTTTGTCAGTCAAACGCAAGGCCGAGATATTATTTTGCATCGTTTGTTCAGCCAACAAGTCAAGACTGTCGTGACGCCCTTGCATACGCTGCGTCATGTGTTCTTGAACCCCCGGCTTATGATTCTCAAAAGAATTGGTATCCTTGACACTCGCTTCAAGTCTCGGCGGCGTGCTCCCCTCCCTAGATGCTGGGGAACGCTTAAATTCTTCGGACATAATGTGCGCAGTGTCGACATCGATATTAGTCCGGCTCAAGAAAGGCGTGACAGAAAAAAGGGATTTATCACCCGGAAGCGTAGAGAAACTTTTAACAGGTTGACAATTTTTTGATCTTCCCGGGGTTGCGATGGCTATCTGCGGTCGGCGCCGCACAGGTCCCGGCATAAAGTCTTGTGACTCCGCTTCCCTTGCAGCTCCCAAGTAATTATCCAAATGGCTCCTTGGCGCAACTTCCACCTCAGACTGCTTTCCTTCAGCGATGTGCAACCTAACTTTGAGCTCTTTTATCTCATTCTCGAGGGCTGTGCGTTTATCCACTTCGGTCTTCAATCTCATCTCCAGCTTTTCCATTGAATGTTTCTGTTTCAATATCTCGTGGGCGGTTAAGTTACTCTCCTTACCCATCCGTCCCGAATCATTGTGTTTTGCGGACATCACAACTTGTCGTTGATTCTGAAGTTCCGACTCCAACAAATTGATGCTTTTCTGCAGGGCCAGCCTTTCCGATATAGCTGTCTGGTAAGAATTATTTTGTACGCGCAACTGCGATAGGCGTGATTTCATGTTAGAAATCTCTCGAGCCAAACATTGCTTGTCAGCTTCAGTCCCGGCAATAGTGGCAGATATCGCTTCTAGGCAATTGGCTTCTGTCTAAAGAAAGATCAATATCTCATTTGAAACACACAGGAAAGGACGGCCACCTTGAAGGTCTTGATTTGTCGGAATTTGAATTGAAGGACAGTGTGAAGCTGGGAAAGTCTTGTTTGTACATATTGTAATTGCTTTTGTAAATTCAAACACCGTGCTTGCACACTCTGGAGCTCTGAGGTTGAATCCTCAAGTCTCCCTAAGAAGACATCCCTGTCGTGCTCTGAAAGTAGCTTGGCCACATTTGATGAGCGGCAGCTTTCTGCAATAACGACAGCTGTGGTTTGACCAAGAACCTTTTCATATTCCAATTGAAGTAGCAAAAGAGAAGTAGGCAAAATCTGCAGTATAAGTGTTAGCAATAGTAAAGAACACATAGGGAAGTCTGACTTTATTTAGACCATTGTTTTGATTCCTCTGCTTCACCATGGTTGTATAAGACTTGCGCCCAAAATATTAAAGGCAGCAATTTCATCAGGCAGGTAAAGGCAAAGAAGGAAGTATCAATATGAAGTGGGCTATTCAATTGATTCTACCTATCATAGTATTTATCAATGTATGAGCCAACATGGGAGAAGAAGTGTGCAGAGCAGTGTAAACCAAAAAACAGCAGCCTAAAGTGTTCATCCCGCTACATTTTGTGCACAGATTTCACATAACATAAATGCACTCAGCAAACCCCATAACATTTCAATCACCCAACACCTTAACCACTCAATGACTGCAATTTCAAAATCCAACCCTCAAACTTCCAACCATGATAAAATAATCAACAAAGCTGTACAGAGGTGTGTCCCAGAAGTTTTTGCCGTGCTAGTAATTAGGCTTGTACCAGAAATACATTGCACCAAATTAGTATGGATCAGCCTGTACCTTTGATCATGGATTTATTTCTCCTCTTTTACATCCTCCCAAGTATTCATATCTTCAAGATGTAGAAAGCTGCTAGAGTCTCTGCAGCTTCTAATCTACTAGCTAGGTAATTTTTTTCTAGATTCTGCTGTTTTAAGATCTTTCTCTTTAAACACTGATCTTTATACTCTCTAGAACTCTTATAATCACTTTCTCTATACTTATTCTCTCTCTCAAGCTGTATAATCTCTTAAATATGATATGAAATTCATATAATTCACTGTTGAATCTCTTTTGTGAAAGCTTATTTCAGACTTACAGTTAAACTTCTTTTACAGTCTTGATTTTATGTAGAGCTTTATATGAAGTTATATGTTCTTTTATTTATATTCAAGCAGATTTAATTATATTTAAATCTAGTGAATTCTCTAACTAAAGTAGCTACTTTATTTTATATAAACTATAAGGTAGTTCACCACTAAACAAGCTACACCACTAAACAAGCCAAATTTCACCAAATGCTCCACACAATGAATTTATTAAATATCTCAACAACCAGATCTTTATTATTAAATAGCTATTAAATATTAAATGAATGTGTTCTTTAAAGCATAAGAATTAGTATAGTTAGGAAAATAAACAGGTGGACAGCCTAATATTACAGCCAGAGGAAGAGATTCAGAGAGTAGATAGAAAAGAATTTAAAGAAATATTAACAGTAGATTTCTTAGCTAGAGAGTCTAATATCTTGCTAGAGAGACTTGTAGAGCTCTTACTCTCTCTTTTGAAAGATTATATAAACTCTCTGTATTAAGACTCTTTAATAGAGAAGTTCTTTTAACAGCACTTTGAAGCTGGTGCTTGAAGCTCTAACTGCTAGTATTTAGTAGTATATTTAACTGTCTGTTTTTTCTTCTCTGCTAGTTGTAAAGTCTTCTTTTTCTTATAAGCAATATATTATGTCTCTTTTTATCTAGTATATTTGGTTTTTTCAGTCTCTTATTACTTACAGATCTTTTTACAAATATTCTTTTATTTAATTTATCTTTCTTTAATATTTCTAGCAGTCTGCTTCTTTTAAAGCTTCTGTTAAAGCTTTATCTCTTATATTTAAGTAATTTTATCAGCTTTTTCAGTCTTTATTTCATCCAGATGCTTGCATGTCTTAAAAACTTTTATTAGAGATCAGAACTGTACTTAACTAAAATTATCTTTATTAAGTAGATCTAGAGGCTTGTCTTGCTTACAGTATTACTTCTCTATCACTAGAGTTAATTTTAGATACTAATTCTTATATTCTAGCAGTCTGTTATAAAGAGTAAATTACTTACTACCTTGAATAACTTATTTAATACTTTGTGAATTTAGATTTTGCTAAAGATGTATACTTTTAATCTCTTGTTAAAGCTGGTGCATATTGCTAGAAATAGAGAATTTAATTAGTAGTGTAGAGACTTAAGTAGTTTCAAATTAATATAATTAATATTAAGAATTTAGAGAATTAATTTCTGTCTTTACAAAGCCAGCAAGTATATTTTCAACTGTTAAAGTCTTCTTTCAAGCCATATTAAATAATCTCTAGAAATCTCTTTTTATCATTCAAATATAGCTTATTTTATAATATAGTAATGCTTTTAACTTGTTCAAATATGCCTTTTCTAGCAGCTTAAAGATTCTAATATCAAGAGATTATAAATAATAAGTTAAATACAGTAAGAGAATTATAAGAAGAATCTTTTTACAGTCAGTATATTTGATAAATTTCATATTTATATAAGAGAAATGCTTATTTAGTAGAAGCAGACATCTTTCTTAACTAGCTTGTTTCTTAGTATGCTGATTGAAAATTTATTTTAACTACTCTAGTTTATATTTATTATTGCTTTAATTATTTGTTGAAGCTACAGAGTAAACTCATTTACTTTTATTATAATGATCTAGCTATATATTCTGAAGATCTTGTGATTTGCTCTGGTAAATAAGAGCTGAAGATAGTGTAATTTCTTTAGCAGAGACTGAGCAGAGTAATAAGAGAACTTTCCAACTATTATTCTAGATAGCAGCATTTCTTTCAGCTTGTAGAGCTTTAATAGAGTCTAATTACTTTAAGATAGAACAGAAGTCTATAAGAAATTCTTTTTTATCAAAATTATAGATGTTTAGAGGCTCAAGATTATATTAATTGATTTTCTGCTCTAACTATAATCAACTAGTTAGCCAGCATCAACAATCTCAATTAATTAAATAAATTATCAAATTACAAGCATACTTATAGAAGTGCTTAAAGCACTGATAATTATCTGCTACCTGCTTATTTTGATTACTTGCTTTAAGATAAATGCATTTAATCTTGTTATTATACTGCTTACAAAATTAATTAATCTAGTTAATTTTAATATTCTCTTCTGTCATCTCTTGGACAATATTTTGTAGAATCTGAGATGTAATGACAAGACCACAGCTAGAGAGCTTATTTATATAATTCAGAAGCTCTATCTTCTGTATATTAGGGAGCTTTTTCTTATATTAGAAGACTGCTTCATTCTGAGCAAGTTGCAAGTCTTTATGTTATTAGTACAGAGTCTCTTAGTTAACTGAGTACTTTCTTATAGTTATAGTATAATTTAAAGCCTCTTGTGATCCAAGGTCTTTAATTGCAAGCCTAATTAAGACATTGTTAACCATGTTATTGTATATTGAATGTTGAACATTAGAGGAATTTGGTAGTGGAAGATTTGGCTCATTTAGTAGTGTGGCTTATTTAGTAGTGAACTACCTTATAACTTTCTCTCTATAAAATAAATATATGCTGATGCTTTATCTTCTTACACTAGAGTCTTTAATTAATCCTTAAAATACTTTTTTATAAAAAGAATAAGCTTGGAAATAAGAATCTTTCTAGTTAAAATAAAACAAAGAAATTAGTAGAAATTCAGAAAATATTTAAATTTTTTAATATTTATACTAATCTACTTCTTTATTATCTTTATAAACTAGCTTTTTATTCTTTTCTGTAAACTAAAAGACTGATTTTCTTTTAGAAATTTTATAAAACTTTATTTATTATATAGTAGTATTAAGCTTTTATTTTTTTTTATCTTAGCTTTTCTTATAATATTAAGCTTATTTAATTTTTTTAAGCTTTCTGCTTCTCTACAGAAATCTTTGCAGTTTAAATATAATAAAAATCTCTTCTTTTTATAAATAAGATAGTCTTAAAATATAAAAGTTAAAATTTTCTTCTACCTCTACCAAATACAAATAACAGATCTGACTATAAGTCTGTAAACCTATTCCCTATATGCAAAATTAAAAAGCTTTCTGTTGATGCTTTAAGATAACTAAAATCTTTATTTATGTACTCTGTAGATAATATTTTTTCAGTTATCTAGAATTTAATTCTTATAAGTAATAGTAAATTTTAGTCTGTTCTCTCTTATAGACTTAGTTAGACCAGATTTTGAAGTAAATTTAATATTAATAAAGCTATAATACTGTAGAATTCATCAAACACTTGAGTAAAATATATTAGATTTAAAGATAAAAATATAAATTTCTCTTAGCCAGCTCTATTCTTGTAAATTAAATTTAATATCTTAGATTCTTTACTAAAATCTATCTCTTTAGAGTATATTAATTTGCTGATTCTTTTAAGACTTATCCTCTTATCCATAGATTGAGGTACAATTAGCGTGGTTTTGTTTGAATACAACACTAGTGATTAACATTGATCTAAAAGCCAATAAAATATCATACTACTTATATAGAGTTCACTGCAAATCAAAATGCAAATCCATTAGCTAGAGCATCTGAAACTATTAATAAAGTTACAACATGTTGGTGCAAGAAATACATCTTTCTATAAAAATCTGCATTTTGTTTTTCATACAGCACTCTCTAATACCTTAACCATGGTCAAAAAAGCTCTTTTGAAAGATATTTCTGGTCAATATACCTTTAATTTAAATATTTATGCTGGCTTAATTTTTATACTCTTACTTGGCCAGGTAGTTAGATGGTGAGACAGAGCAATATACTTTCTAGACTTTCTCAGAAGTGTTAGTCAATAGAACATGGTTATAATTATTAAAATCTTAGCATATAGTAATAAGTTCATATTAACCAATTATGATATGTAGTCCTCTGTATTCTATTACACACTAGAAACCACACTACTTGTGCCTCAATCTACAGACAAGGGGATATCTGTAGTCTCTAACTTATTTTTCAATTATATAGAGAGTTTTAGTAGAAAGTTCTAGAGCAGTAAAGTCTTTATTAACTAATATTTCTCAAGAAACTAAAGCTAGAGCTTGAATATGAATAGTAACTGAATAAAACTGATTATTTTCAGGCATTAAAAATTATAATTAAGATCAAATTCAAGCTGGCAATTGTTTTAAAATCAGAAAATATATATAGATCTGTAGTAATTTACTTGAGTATTATACTTTTCTTATAGCTATAATTACTAGTGTAAGTAAAAACTTCTGAGATGCATTTTTGTTAAAGCTGTTAGAGTTTTTGCAGCTTTTAATTTACTAGCTCAGCAATCTCTTTTTAGATTCTGCTATTTTAAGATCTTTTTCTTTAAATACTGATCTTTATACTGTTTAGAATTCTTATAATTATTCTCATTATACTTATTCTTTTTCCCAAGCTGTATAATCTCTTGAATATGATATAACATTTGCTTAATTCACTATTAAATCTTCTTTTATAAAAGCTTATTTTAGACTTGCAGACAAACTTTCTTTATAGGCTCAATTTTGTGTAAAGTTTCATAAAAGGTTATATATCTT